AAAGGCTCAGCTGGGATCAGCATTTTCAGAACAGATTCCGTGACAAAATTTGATCAAAGGTCCAGGCAGAGCCTGGTTTTGCCTTTTTTGGGGTGAACAATTGGGTTTGATATCCTATGGAGCCTGTTTTACCTCAAGAGAACTCATGCACGCACCACTGGGTCTGGATGGCTCTTGTGCCTGAGTTGGCTGTGCTCAGAGGCAGAGGCAGCCACAGAAATTTTGAACAATGGTATAGAGAAATAATATCCGTATTATTTTAAGCCTTCCATGGGTTTGGAGAATGGAGGTATAAGTCAGAAGTGAAAGGGATCAGTTGCTGTTTTCTCATTAAAAAAATGAACACTATTGAGTCACTCAGATGAAGGCAGTAACAGCACAGTTAGCGCTGGTTAAGTCTTTTATCTGTCAATCACTTGCCCCTTGAAGGTTAGAATTCCCATTTGTAGATCAGTAATGTGGTCCTAGACTCCCTTTTCCCCATCTTTTGAGTCCACCCATCCTTTTGTCTGTCCATACTTGTTCAGGAGCAGGCGTGAGGATGGGCAGGACCCTGCTGCAGGGCAGATTGCTGTACTCTGCCCTGGTTGTTTGCATCAGGCAAGGCTGGGTTGGTCTTGCTGATGCTGAGAGAGGGAACATGGTTTGGGGTTGTGGGCACTTCTACTAAAATGCAGTAACATGCTTTTGCTTTTTTGCTCCTTCTTGGGCATGAAGTGGGTCTATTCCCTGATACCTCAGACTGGTGAATTTTTAACACTGTCTCTAGGGGGAAAAAAAGGCTATTTCACCATGCAGATTCTATGGAGTAAAGGCCTTTCACTGCTTTCATCTCACTGCTATTATGATTGCCTCAGTGTTTCCCATTCCAGAGAGATTCCAGACAGGATGATGGTGGTATGCATCCCTATCCCTTTATCCTGCATCACATTCCACCTGCCTTTTACCCAGCGAAGGTAAAAGGTATCCCACAGCTTTTCCTTCCCCACCCTCCACCTACACCTTGTTTTTCCCTTGTGTGCTGGGCTGCTGAGATGACTCCCCAGTGCTGACTGTGGAGAGGCTGTTTTATTTATATGGTCTGTCTTATTCAGGGAAGCGATCGATGGAAGGATAATCATGCCATTTCAGACAGACTGCTTGTCTCACTGAAGCATAACAAGCACTGACAGGACGCAGGGGAGGGTGTGTGTTTGTGTGTGTGCTGCACACATGTGAGGCAGGGAAATGTGATGGAGTGAACCGATGCAATGTCCAAATTTGCCCCTCCAGTCAGCAGGCTTAGGACGAGTTGATTCCAAGCAAGACACTAGAGGCAGAAGTAGGAAGTGGCTAGTGATGATTTCAAATGTGTCTCCTTCACACCTGTCTCTGGGGCAGAAAAAAATTTGGTTAGCACCCTTTCTGTGTTCCCTCAAGCCCACCATCTGCCTCTCCAGGCTTTCTCCATCACGGCTGAAACCATTTAAAATGCCATCATCTCTCTGCTGGTCCTAAATTGGCTATCTAATGTGGTTTTAATGCTCTATTTGCTATGCTGTAAAACACTCTCCTTTAACTTGCAGGGCTGACAGATTTACGTCTAGGATGGGTGATGTTACCTCAGAGCCCAGGATGGGGCTTAAGTCCCCCTGGGTCTAATTTGCTTTGTGCCCAAGGACATGTTCCTTTGCTCCTACCTGCTTGTCCATACCACAGGGCTGACAGTGTCAGCCTGTTTCCACAGGCTGTGTACGTTTTGCTCTCACCCGTTTGAGTTTGGGCATTGCATCCGCTGCATCGCCACTGGGCTGGTGAAGGGCTCAACACTTCTGTGCTTGCATCAAGTAGTTCCAGAAATTGCCACATAAGCAAAATCTTTTGCTGAAAGGTGCTTCTAGCAAATTAAATTAAATTGTCCGTGTCAGCCCCCACCATGCTTCCTTTCTCTTTCTCTAACTCTCCATCTTGGAGGGCCAGACATGCAGGGATTAAGATTTTTACAGGCACAGTTTCCTCCTGGTGTTTGTCACCTGAATGCACAGCCTGCTTGCCCTCATGTTGTGACCCGTTACATCTGGTGGCTCAGTTCAGACATGTCAGGGAGTCTCTCAGTCCCCTGTCTGCCTGCTTAGGGACTGGAGTGTGTGTAGGCTGTAGGGAGGAGCCAAATCCCCCTGGCCAGAGCAGGCAGCAGTGGTGCTGGTGCACCAGGGCAGCAGTGCTGCTGAAGGGGATGACTGCTGCTGCAGTAATGATGGAGGGCAGAGCCACTCAAGTGTGGCTGCCTTGCAGCATGCTGCTGACTCGGCCTGCCTGGGAGTCCTTCAAGCCCTGATGCTTTGTCACATAGGCTCAGTGCACCCGAGCAAGCCTTGCAGCTCCCTGTGAGCTGCTCTCGCCCTGCATCCCTGTGTTAGCTGGCAGCACAGGTACAGGAGAGCAGAGAAAGCTGGGGGAGATGCCACTTCTTCTGCACTTCTACTGCAAACTTTTGTAAACATATTGCTAATGGGTTGGAGAGAAAACACTCTGAAGAGTTATATTGCCAAATTTGGAGACTAATTTCAGTCATTAAGGTTCGAAGCAAGGGATTTTAGTGCTGCTTTAAGTGTAAATCTCAAGGCAGCTCCAAGGATTGGAGTCATTGATGATCCCGCCTTGATTATTATTAGAGGTTCTAATCTTTCCAGTGAAAATGAGCATAAATGACACTCTCTTGTCTCATATCTATGCAGGTTTCTGTGAACTCTTCTTGTCAAGCTGTGCAAGGGAGATTCCTGAAGTGGAATTGTTCTTGGGTGTGAGGAGAAAGCGGATTGAGAACAGTTTAATATTGGTGTTTGTTTAATTAGATGTTGGCATTGCTTACTCATTACTGACATATAAAGCTGCAACTCCCATCAGGCTAATGGTATCCTCATCTTCTTTGTCTTGATTCTGGTGGCCAGTGCAGAGAAGTCATGAAGTTGTAATCTTGGTCCACTGGAAGATCCCTCCCACCACCACTAGAGCCTTAACTAGGTCTTGTAGGGTGCACATACCTGGCAATGGTCCATGCCTGGAATTCCTCACTACCAGAACAATTCACACAGCTGGGGAAAAAAAAGCCCGAAAAAAGAGCATGTGTGGTCCTGACATGGGATGTTTTATGCATTACAAACAATTGCATGGCTAAGATTTTCCAGGCGGAGGATGTTTTGGGGTTCGCTCAATGTTTGGGTTCCAAATGGCTTTGGGTTTTGGAAAATAACCAATAGTCTGCCTTTGAAAATTGTCCTGTTGCAGATGTTTCATGCTGGGCTCCCTTATGGCTGTATTTCCAATGCTGAACACGTCCCTTGAAGGTCACAACATGGAGCAAGTGTGGATTTTCCTTTAGAAATAAACATAATTGCTGATTGCACTTGGCAATGGGGAGTTAGTAGATGAGTTTGGTTGATTAATGGAGTTAAAACAAAAAACTTTGAAAAAGGAAGAAACTGAAATAATGACCTGCTTTTTTATTTGTTTGAAGAAGTTTCCCTGGTACAATGATTTCATTAGATTAGCAGGGAGGTCTCTTTGTGCAGATAGTAGGAAAGCATGAACCCACCAAAATAACATATTTTTCCCCCTCTTATTTATTTTCTTGAAATTGGTTCAAATTGAGTTTATAAGGGACAAATTGAAGGTGAATATTAGGAAATGTTTCCTGATGTCATGCTGTAATAGAATAGAAAACCTCTCATGTCTGTAATAGAAATGTTGATTGTGTAATTTATAGAACTGTGCAAAGTAGGGGAGTGCTCAGAGTCCAGGGACCAGCCCTGCAGGCAGCTTGGTCACCTCTGCTTCTCATGGTGATGCGATGCTACTGGTGCCAGAGCAGATTTACAAAGGTAAAATCTACTTCATGCAACAGGATTGTGAATTGAAGTGAAATATATGAACAGGGTAAACTGTCAGAGTGCCATGGCGATGTCATATAAACCACTGAACTGTGAAATGTGTATTTACCTTCTCTTCCCTGCAGTGTATTTCTAGATGGTCTGACAGTTAAGAAAACAATAGACCTGATTCTTATTTAGAGCAACATGCTTTCACAATGCAGCAAGGCCTTGAAATGAGTGTAGCTGTAATCTCAGTCCACTTAAAGGCTCTCCCTATTGCCAGAGCTGAGTAAGGAGGCTTTATGAATAAATAATAAATAAAATTAATAAATAGAATAAATGAGATTGAAGCCTGGACTGTTTAACTGTCTATTTGTACAGCTGACATGAAATGCCCCAACAGAGAGTGCCTTCTGCAGGAGTGATCAGGCCTTTTCAGACAAAGAGAATTGCTGATGTTGGCTGCAGGGCTGATCACCCTTTAGTTTGATTTTACTGGGTGTAAGGCTCGACTCTGTTCCTAGGTCACTGGGCTCTTTCAACATCCTTATCCCTATTCCTAAGCTCCTTCACAGGATGACTCTGGGCCCCATGAGGTCTGCTGGCTCTGAGAGGGGTAGAGCTTCTTGCAGGTGTGCTGCTCCTTCCTCTGGTCTCCACTGCTTCCTGAGTCATTGCCTTGATATTTGGGCTGGGGGGAGGCTGTCTCCACTGCTTCACCTGCTGCCCATCACTGTCCTCAAGTGGCACGCAAAATCCCCTTTGGAGGGTAAGCTGTGGAGTGCATTTACACATCTGATTGCTAAGGATCCATCTGCTCTTTGAGGCAGAGGAAAACCAGGGATGGATTGTGGGCATACATGTGTGTGGACTCTTAGACAGGCTTTTAGGAATTCGTTGAGAGCCAACACAGTATATCACTTCCTTATCCCAGTCACAAAATGGGGGCAATTGCCCTGACTTGCCTGATTGTCCCAATTTCTGGACTAATTGTCCTGTTTTTTTTTAACTCACTTCCTCTAAGATTTTCCATTATTTTGCACTGTGCTTCTACCCTCCTGATGTGAGCTGAAGAGGGGAGGCAGGGTCTCGTTTCGGGTTTGGTTTCCAAGCATTAATGTTCTCCTTGCTCTCTCCTCTCTCCCACAGGTACCTGATCAATGTCACCTTTGAAGGCAGGAATTTGTCGTTCAGTGAGGACGGATACCAGATGCATCCCAAGCTGGTCATCATCCTTTTGACCAAGGAGAGGAAGTGGGAGAGGGTAGGATATGTTTGGTCATTCTCCAACTGTGTCAGGGAAGAAGAAGGGGGAAGGTTCCAGGCAAATAATCCTCCCCACCTTTCTGTACTTCTTATCAAGGGCTGGCAATCTGCTTCTTGTATCCCGGACCAGTGGTATCTCCAGTGCCCAGGCTGCTGTCTTCTCCATGCAGGATGCCATTACAGTCTTCCATTAGCATGCATAAAAAATTCATCAGCTTCCTTTCTGTGATCACTGAACATAAGTTTCCTGGCCTTTCAGAGAAGATATCTCCTCTGTGCCATGAGTTTCAATGGCTGAGACAGAAAATATTTCTCTGTATGGCTTGGTGGCAGTGAAGTTCTGTACACTAAGTGACTACGATTGAGCTACAGCCACACTTAGTAATTTATACCAGTATTAACTGTACTTGATATATCTGGCCAGTGTCCCTTGCAATGGGATGGTGCATTAAGTAGGATGTGAACGTGAGATCATATTGAGTTGCTCAAAGATCCAAATTTGCATATTTTGGAATAATTTGCATGTAACCCAAAGTACCATTTTAGAAATGGTGTGAATTTCTGAGTTAGTGGGAAGTTTTGGTTCATTTCACCTCCCACATAAATGTCAGTGGTCCAGGCTCCAAACAAGCATTCCGAAAGGGTTTCTGTTGAAGCAGAGGGGGTAGTTTAAGGGCTAAGAAAATGAGATATAAAAAAAGTTTTGGGTGTGAGAAGTCAGAGCAAAGGAAGGAGAACTCATCAGAACATTCAATAGATATGAAGCAGAAGTTGGTCTGTATGCAATCATGTGTATGTCTTAGAAAAATGCCCCTTTGTCCCACCATGCACAGAAAACTTTTTCTCCTTTGCCTGCTTGTTCTCTGCATGGACTTGCAAGTGACTTGCTTGGTGAAAGTGAGGAAGAAATTAATGGGGAAATGAGAATGAAATGGGGAGCTGTCAGGAGAAGTGCATTCAGAAAAGAGCTGTAAGAACAACTTACAGCTTGTGAATGAGACAGAAGAGCAATCATTTTAGTGCCTGGCAGGCACTAGGGTCTCCCAGTAGTTGCAGGAATTTGGGAAGAAGCTGAAAGCCCCCAGCTTGTGCCTGGTTTCCAGGAGGACCTGTCTACCTCATGGTCTTGGCACCGTTCAGACCAGATGAGGGTGTGTGGTCTGGCAGAGTCAGAAGAGATCTGAATGGGCCAGGAGTGTGAGGAAACAAAGGGCATGGCATGGCATGCATGGACAGCTCTTGGACACAGCTGAAGGCAGGCTGTCTAGATACTGCACAGGGTGTGGACATGCAAAGCTCAGGCTGTAGAGACCTCACGTCAGGCTCGGTCCACCACTTGACTTCATTAAAGCTTAACAGGAAAAGTCCAGGAGGATTTGTTCCTAGCTGGCACCACATTTGTTCTCACGGGGGAAAACTCCATCGTCAGAGAAGGAAAAATGAAGCAGTAGCAGCACGAATCCTCCTAGGGGTTATTAGCAGGCCTGGCTGTGGGAATCTGTCGCTGGAATGCTTTGCAGTCTCTGGGGAGGCATAGCTAAATACAGTCCTATTTTTATCTTGCCTGTCACATGCTTCACACCCTCAGTGAAGGCTTGGTGGCTTCTGTCAGTGTTAAGAAAGGTTGTTCAGTCTCTGGCAGATGAACCAGACAATTAGTAGAAGGGATCCTAGTTATCAAGAGTATTGGGTTAGATCTGTGACCTGCTTGAGTCCTGCTGTCTGTGAGGACTACTTGGCATCCATTAAACAAAAACAATCCTTAATTTCATAGGAGCTAGGGCTGGACTGAAATGAGGCTATGATAAACTATGGTATTAGTGGTAAGAAATACATGTAGTGCTTCCTGCACACAAATGTTTTATCTTGAAGTGAGTGTCTTCCTCAGAGAGGATCAGATTATTATAATCAAACTCTGAACTAGTAGAATTTTATGCTGGCAGAGTCTTTCTGGAAGACACTGAAGTAATCTCCAGCATGATCACAGACCAAAACCTTTCATACCTGGAACCTCATGTTCTTAATTTTTTTTCCATTCAGCAGGAGTGCAAACATAAAAATATAAGTGTGAAGCAGAAATCATTACGACAAAGATATTAGTTTTGTTCCATGTTCGCAAAGAGTCAGGCAACACAAACTGTTGGCCCTTAACAGTGGCTCCCAGGCAATGTCACAATACAAGAAATTATTAATATATTTTTGGCACATAATTTCAATACCTTTATGGTGCTTTAGAACATTATCCAAATTCTCACTGATTTTATGTAAATAGCAAGGTGCTTCATCCTGGGAACTTTTAGGCTAACATGCAGTAGGAGACATGAGATGAAAGACTGAGTGGGAAACACTGATTTGGTCCAGTTGCATTCACTGTAGCTCAACCTTTAACTACACACTTTTATTTATAATCAGATGCTATGCCTGGGAGGAACATCAAGAGGTCAACTAGTCCCTCCCTGTGCCCCAAGAGAGGGTTTAACTAGACTGAAATTATTCCTGACAGATGTTCGTCTCACCTGTTCTGAGAGACCTTCAATGCTACAAATCCCATGAAATACCAAGTCAATCTCTTCTACGTCTTCTTTCTCCTTACCCTGCTAAGTTTTTCTAATGTGTAACCTAGATTTCCCTGGCTGCAGCTGAATACTTCATGTCTCCCTAATCGACATAGGGAATTGTTTATTCTCTACCACTTCTTATCATCCCCATGTGGGTTTGAAGTCTTCTATCATGTTGTTTCCCAGTCATCTCTGGTGCAGGTTAAACATTAATTTGTTCAGTCCCTCTTGGTAGGTCATGTTTTCTAGTCTTCTGATCATTTCTGTTAGCCTCCTCTGGATTTAGTAACACAGCTTGCAGCCCTGTACAGCTTGGCACATTTGATTCTTGAAAGATGGCAAATGGATTTTGAGGGTATGTCTCATGGAGTATATATAAAATGATATGTTTTAAAATAGGTGTGAAGTCTTCCATTTTCTGAGCAGCAAAGATCCAGACAGTGACTGAACTGTTTCAGGATTTCAGGTCTGTGAAATCTTTAGCGATTTTGATTTTTTTCCCCAATAAGTATCTTTACGACCTCACCAGTTATTTCAGAACAGGAATTAATTTTCCAGAGGAGCTGCAGCTGCCCCCAGACTCTGATGATGATAAATCTCCTCATGAGTGGTTCAGACAGACGGAAGCCTTGTAGGGCTGACAATCATGAAAGAACAAGAAGAAAACCCACTTTCTGCAAGGGGGCAGTAACTTGAGCTCTCCTGCTTGTCTTAACCATGAGTAATGAATCATCATGATAAGCAAGTGTGCTGAATTTCATTCACTTCTCTGTACTCTGCTCCTTGGGGGAAGAATGCTGCACACCTTTCCACACTACCTTTTCATCAGCTGGTTAGTAAAGCTCTTTGCTTCACTGGGCAGATTGCCTAGGTGTGTTTTGGGTGCCTAGATTCCCCTGTTGTTTATCATAGAGGTGCAGGTATGCAGATGGAGGTGGTGAAGGATGTCTGCTGTTATGCCCCATGAAGGACCATGGCTCAGTGTGGTGATGAGTGGGGGCCAGATATCTTGCAAAGTGAGCCAGAGGGTCAGTACTACTCTAGGTTTTGTGTCAGTGGGTTGGGATATTTTGTGTGGGAAGAGATTTCACCCAGTATTTTTCTTCACTATTTGCCTTTCTCTTCTGCTCTCTATGATTCCACATATGATGAGGACTTATTTCTGGGTTCGTGATCCCTTTGTGAGAGCTAGCAAGTGCTTCTATCTCCAGCTCTTGCTTACATCCTCCTTCTCTACTGAGTCCTATCCCACTAGCTCCTTGACAACAGTCCTGTCCCATTTAGCTCCCAGATCCTCCCATCTGCTTCCTCACTTTCCCCCAGCAAACCTGGGGGTGACACAAATGTTGTGAACTTTGAGTCACTCTTTCAGATTCTTTCTCTACTTTAATTACTAGTGAGTTTGGCATCTTCTTTTATGGCTAGTTTGTGCTCAGCCTCTTTTCTTAGGTGTGTCACTGGGGATTCAGAGCACCTTTCCATGAGGCTCATGACACCAAGTTCTTGTGCCACCCCACAGAGCCCTTTGATTCACAAGCTCCCTCCATCTCTTACCAAGCCTGCCCCATTCACTCCTCTTCCTGTCTGGACAAGCAAAGCCCTGGGTGATGGTTTTGGTCAGGGTGCCACTACAAGCCACCTTAGAGGACAGATGGGAAACTTATGTTGAAAGATGCATTCTCCTTGCTGCAGGTACTAATCCTCTGCCCCTATCAACCTTCACCCTGCTCAGCAGATAAAATGTTTGCCTGCTGCTGGTGCTATAATTATCAGCACTTGACTTTTGAACTCTCCAACTCCAACTCCAGCTCTGTTCTTCTTCCTCTAGCCATTGGTGTGACCATGATTACAAATTCACGGGCAGGCTGCTCCTAGCCTGTACCCTTACACCATTGTACACATTAGTGCTCCCTGGGAATGGGGCCATTTGCTGTGACATCCTCTCAACTGCCTCAGTCACTGTAGACTTCCAGGACTTCCTAATGCTGCAGCAGGGTGGAAAACAGTGTCACTACTCTCTGCCACGTGGTCTTTCCAGAGATATGTTCAACCTCGATCACAGTCTGCATAAGATGAGTTTGTGAACTTCTGTGACCCTGTCTTCAGCTTGGGACAGAGTGCCATCATGCCCATCCATGCCTGGGAAGAGTTCCCCTGGGACATGGGACGGAGATATGGAAAGGAAAGATGGACTTAGAAAAGAAAAAGGAAAAATGAAGATTTCCCTCATCTAAAAAAATGATGAAAGAGAACAAGATAAATTTTTGGACACCTAAGTGATTGTTGAAAAAAGGACATACTAGTCATCTGCTTTTCATGCCCCAGTAGGGAGAAAGAAAAAGTTGTCTTGCTAAATTGTCAAGCAGAAAGATTTCAGATTTGTAGGGAGCTGTCTAATTATTGGCATGGTGAGACATGGTGAGGCTCATTTGCTGGTAGA